ATATATGATGATCAAATAGCCACTTTCAACTTTGATTATTGTTTAAAAACAAAACCTCAACAACACTTTCAGAGAAAAAATCAACTTGGCAGCCAAACTATGAACTGGAAAAACTTCTAAAATGATATTACCTTTTATTTATCAGCTACATAGACCAATAAACAGTGATACAATAATCAAATATGCTGGCAGTTAAAGGTCCAGTTCACCCAAATTACAAAACTTGTTACTTTGCTCTAGTGCAGTGGTTGCCAACTGGTGGGTTGTGAGCACAATACAACAAGTGACTCACAAATGTGTAAAATGTGTGTGTTTGTTAAAAAAAAAAAAACAACACTTTTTTTTTAGTACAGTGAATTTCTGGCATATAGCTTCTCCCTCTTTAATACATCTATTTTCACACCTCTATAAACAATATATATATATATATATATATATATATCAACCATTTAAAAATCATGCATCTGTAGGGGTCATTGTAGTAATGAAGTGAATATGACATATTTAAGAAAGTCTGCCCAATCTGAAATGCAGCAGGTTCAGCAGAGTTGTGGGTGGATCCAGTGGAGTTGTGGGCTCTTATACACCTTCTGTATGTCTTCTGTGTAAGCAGTTGACAAAATCCTGTCTTCCAGATAAATGAAGAGTTTCGAAGATGCAACACTGTTCCCTTGGAGCAAACATTCATCTCCCAGCTGGACAGGCACACGCCAAAACTGCTGGAATTATTCAGTTCAAAGGGAGGAGCTGTGGGACAGCGCATGAAGAGTGTGTTGATTGAGCTGATTAAGGTGAGCTAAAAGGTTAACAAGGTCAAATAATAAATGAATCTGGAGCAATAGGCTGATTTTATTCTTTTGTGTGTGTGTGTTTAAAAAATGGTTTAAAAGAAAATCTGTTTATCAAGACAAACTGTTGGCCATTTTCAACTCATGGCTGTCATAAAATCTAAAAAATGAGCTAAGGGAGTGAAACAAGCTGTTTTTGAAGCAATACAGACAAGAGATGTGGATTAGTTTATAATTCATGATGTTATGATGAACTGTAGGACCCGCATGCCTCATTGGTGAAGAAGAGGGACGTGACTCTGAGATGCCTCATTGAGTACCTGGGAGAGAGTGTGCAGGAGCTTGTCTCTGACTACTATGTAAGTATTCTACTGATTACTGTATTGTAGGTATTAGCATAGTTTTGAGAGCTCCGTCTTGTTTTTTTTTTTCCAGATCATAAAAACACTGGGCCTCATTCACCAACCGCTCTCAAGAACAAAGTTCTTCCAACCCACTTGTGCACTTTTCTGACATTCACCAAGGTTTTCTTATTGCGGATTTGTTCTTAGATGAGAACAGAATCTATTGACACTCGAGCACTCTTAGCACATTTTGAGCTGATATATTTTTATCAATTATAATTTTTTAAATGTAATTATTTTGATTATTTTACGAAAGCATTATGGTTTTTAGAATAAATAGTACAATAACCCGTCAGTTCACACCGATTATGTTAATCAGAGCCATGTCATTTAATAAAATTAGTGACTGATAAGATCTATAAGATACCACAGGCCATTCAAGTGGGCAGGACAATAAGTGACAAAGCAGCATTTCAAGTACATTATTAATAAAGATTGCAAGAAATTTTCACCTTCGCGTTCCCTACCCCTATCTTTGTCTTTCTCCCTCTCTCTCTGTCTCACTCTGAACACACACTCACACTGTGGAGTGCGCTGCATCGCTCGTCTCTGTCCTCACTTGTGGTACTGTAATGAATACAGTTTGCATTTTGCGGGTCAGGTGGTTAATTACCATGCATTTTTAACATCCCATGCATCTTTTTGTATGATTTTATATCCACTGCTAACACTACTAAATATGGCGTTTTTAGTTTGACGTTCACTTATTCAGTTTGTGTGTGGCCCTACATCGGCGTGCAGTGTCCTGCCCTTTTATGGGGATTTGCGGGACGTACTTATACTAATTAAGATTATCTGGTAGGGACCTTCAATTTACGAGGACAATGGGATTCATCATTATGAGAACATAGGTGTGAACAATTCTGCCATTTAAGAACACAACATGAATCTGACATAGACTTTGCTGAGGACTTTTCTTATGATCAAATTTGAGAAAAAAATTTGGAAGATATTTGTGAATGAGGCACATTATTGTTAAGTCTCTGGACTGTGGTAATACTACATGCACTTTACACCATCTGAACTCTCAGTGATTGTGTGCACACCAGCCAAGGGTCTTGGTAAAAATGTGTCACAGAACATTGGATTTGTAGAGAAAATGTAATAATGGAAGCAAAAAGAATGTATTTACAAACATAAGACATTCTTTTCCAAAAATAAAGTTTGTATGCAACTACTTAGAGACAAAGGAATATGGAACCCCAAAATTACAACAATAAATATAGACATTATGAAATAATCTTGTAAAAACACCATGATATAAAAACAGATTTTTGAAAAATGGCTTTTTGAAATAAAAATATCTGTTGTGAAATAAAAATTAAGTTCTGTAAAACAAAATAACAAGGATTTAATAACTTTATACAACAAGATGGTGCTGTAATTGCACAGTCATGAACAAGACAATCTGACATTTTCCCTAAAGCCCAGTTCAAACCAAAGCCTGGTGTTTACATACAGTGCAGCCTGTAAGTAGTAAAATAGTGAAACCATTTGAAGAGTTTGGGCTTTTTACTCTCAAAAAATTGGATTGGAATTCAAATAGTAATGAAGCTTTCAAATGTGTTGCCCCAATAAGACTGAGTGATTGATAAAGCATCTTCTGAGGTGGACTACAGAATAAATATATTCTTTAATCAAAGCCTTTTAACAGCAGTATATGGTTACATATTTTATAGAGGACAGCAGAGGATGAAGTGCATCAGGACCTTAAAACACACAGTAGGAGGATCTACGTGTGCCACCAGCCCGATGCAGTGGGCATCATCATCGATGGGACTCCAGTTCTGACTGGTCTGGATAACATGTCCAAAGCCTGCTGCCTCCTCCTCGGCCTGACCTACGCCCTCAACCTGGATTATCCTCCCAAACTTGCCAAAACGTTTGAAGTGTTTCAAAGACTGTTTGTAGGACTTGATATGCTGCAGCCCAAACCAACATCCAAGTACATCAACCTGAAAAACAAACTGTTCACCTGAACAATGGCTCACCTCGTCCAAGGCTAGGTTTTGTTAGTGTGTTATATTCAGGAGCTGTGAAGGAGTCTGATTGTTTGATGATAAACTTGTGTTGGATGTTTGAAAGAACTGTGTTAATGATTAAGGGTTAAAACACTGAGCTGTACCTCAGAGTTTTAAGGAACTAATATCCACAGTGGGCTTCTAATCAAATTTTTCATACCTTCCTGATATTTTCACCGGAATGTACAGTACATGACAGTATGACTATATGGTGCAACTCCCCGCCCCCGACCAGCGTGTTCGCTACTTTTGGCAGGCTCACCATACATTTTCCAAACTAATAATTACACATGTTGCTTGCCGGCTGTTAACGGTCCTGTGCACTAAATGGGCACCAACAAACAAACAAACAAATAAACCCGTGACGGGCATGCGCTGCTCACACAGCCAGAGTGGTTGGTGCTATTCCTCCACCACTGGTGTCATGGTGTCTTTTGGCTCAGCTGCCTGATCCATCAGTAGAGACCAGAGACTGACCTATGGTGTTATGTGCTGTGCACTACATATAGTAAGTTTAACAGAAAGAGGAGCACCCGTATTTGTGACGGTATTGAAAATCATATCATCCGGATTTCTTAATACCCTGGTGTACCGTGATACCGCCCAAGCCTAATCCACAGCAGTTCCACATGTCACATCTCTGTAAATGTGGTTGTGCAGCACATGCTTCTTTGTTGGTAAGGTCAGTTCACCCAGATTACAAAAAAAACAACTGATTTCACCAGGTTTAAGGGCCTCAAAGCTCTGTTCATAGTTAGAATGTGTGTTGTATAAGAGCTCTGAAAATTCTCATGTAAGCTGTATTTTTTTACTCAATGAGACAAGTTCTGCTGTATGTAACTTTTGTACTTGTAGCTAAATTATTTTATCTCTGAGGGGAAATACAGAAACACATTTAAGTTTTAATAAGTGACTACTTTCATACATTTTGTTTGACATTTCAGTTGAGGTTGGTGGTTGCAGAGACTGTTCACTACTGGTTACATATGTAAATAAATTAGTAACAGTTTCAAGTAATCTAATTTTTCAACTTACAGTATATTGATCTGGTAAACCAAGTTCATAATTGATTATTCCCTCACACTCCGTGTAGTGATGTGTTCTCACAAACCTACAGTCTTTTTTTTTTAATTGTCTCCACAGCCTGGCAGAGGCATTGGGTCTCATTCATGAAACGTGAGCAGAAGGAATTTGTGTGTAAACTGTTCGCAGATGTAAATTTATGTGCATGTCCGCATTCATCAATATTTTAGTAGCTCCGATCTTTTCGTAGCTACTAACAAAATCTACTCCTGCTCCTGACCACTCGTAGTGCTTGTGTAAATTTAGTAAAGCACATAAATATTGCTTGTCACTATTGGAAATTACAATTTTAATTCGTATTGTGCTCTGTTATGTACACAATACACAGATGCCTTTGAAACACGTAATCTAACGTGACAAAATATTAAAAATATAACACATTTAGTTAAATTAGTTGGCAATTAGCAGGTTTAAGATCCAGATTAGGTTCATGATTGTGAATTATCTATGTAAATCGACTCAATAGATTACACGTTCTTTCTACATGTTGAATGATGATAATAAAAATATCCGTAAGGACAGCCGGATCACAGCCTCTTCAGCCTCGGTGCCTGGGTTCAGCAGGGGCAGCAGGAGCAGCAGGTGGTGGAGCCACGAAGGAGCACGCACCAGCTGAAAGAATTATTTGAGACAACACGGTTTTGTTTTTGCGGCTTTTTGATCATTTGAATGAATAAATCTGATTTGAAAAATGTTTAATTTACGTTGTATAAAACAGAGCTTTAGGCTATTAAGATTCAAATAATTTGAAGACGATGCATACAAAACTGCTGTAGGCTATATGTTATCCGTATCATTTGTTAAAATAAATGTTAAATAGCTCTACATTCCGACAGCCATCACTGATTTCGAGTTTATCCATTACGCACAAAACATCTCTGGTTTCCCGTTCTCACTTCATTCAAAACCCCATAAATGAATCTTCTGTTTGTTTGGTGACTGCTGTATTTTTTTGTGTGTATGCTTATGCGTTTCTTTGCCTCCAGTTTCATATCAAACCATTTATGCTTCACCTCTGACATGGTTCTTTGTACCACGGAGACAACATTAACAGCATCTGTTACCTCCTTCCAGGCCTTTGCTTTGCCTGTCCCTGTCACACCACTACTAACTGAAGAAAATAAAATCTTTTTTCTTAAGTCCACTTCACCCAAAATTATTTCGATCTCCTCAAATCTGAGTTTCCTGCGGCGTTCCTGAATCCGGAGTAGGTTGAGAGACCCATTATGTTTCTAATCGTTCTGTCCGTCCGTCCATCTGTCTGTCCGTCCTTTCCTTGTGAGCGCAATATCTCAAGAGCACCTCAAGCAAATTTCTTCAAATTTGTCAAAGTGGACAAAAATGTCCAAAATGTTTCAGACTCAGTTTTTGGTGGTCATAGGTCAAAGGTCAAGGTCACTGTGACCTGGTCTGCCTCATTCTTTTGAACGTGACATCTTAAGAACACCTTGAGGATTTTTTTTGTTTTGTTTTGTTTTTTTTTTGTTTTGGCACAAACATATACTTGGACTCAAGGATGAATTGATTAGATCTTGGTGGTCAAAGGTCAAGGTCACTGTGACCTTGCATCTGTCCCATTCTTATGAACAAGATATCTCAAGAACACTTTAAGGGAATTTCTTTAAATTTGACACAAACGTCCACTTGGACTGAAGAATAAACTGATTAAAATTTTATGGTCAAAGGTCATTGTGATCTCGCAAAATATGTTTTTGGCCATAGCTCATGAATTCATATGCTAATTATGATAAAACTTCACACAAATGTCTAATAGCATACAATAATGAAGTGATGACATTTTATATCCAAAAGGTCAAAGGTCAGCGTGATCATAATGTTCTGCATAAAACACTTTTCTGGCTATTACTCATCATCATATCTCAGATACACAAAGGGAGACATTTGGTCAGGTACTGAATTGATGACACTAATCTTGTGTGGTGGTGTAATTCTAGTGTTTATTGGTGTGATGCCTGTGGGTTTTGTTTATATGACAACATCTTGACACTTGCGTTAATTAGGTAGCTAATGTAACGTTACGTTAACAGAGCGTTGTCTACACAAGCTTACAATGTGTACAGTGATAAAAGCCCTCACAGAAATCAGACATAGATATGGAAATAAGAATTTGCTTTTACAATATGGAATCTTTAAAGCAACATTCATTCAGTTGAAAGCTATGGGCCAAAAACGATGCTAAAACATTCGGCAGAACTGCAGAGTGGGTGATAATATGTATCTGTTCCAACAACAAGGCCAGGGAGTGCTATAAGTGCGACTGCAGAGGTATAAAGGTCCAATCCAGAATCATTATTCACACATGGAGAGTTATAGACTCTGCTTAGCTCACTACACCAGGGATCCACATGTTCGGAGCCCCGCCTCTGCCTGCCACTCGGCACACTGAGCACCTAATCCCGACTCCAGTCCCTGCGAGTGGAGTGTTATTTATTCGGGCTGAGCCTGACTAGGTCCCATGACCCAAGGCCCGGCCACCAAACGCTTGCCAGTGAGCTCCTCCCCCAGGTCTGGCTCCAGCAGGGGGCCCTGGTGTCCCCAAATGGGGCAGAATATGCTGAATCATCTAGGTCTTCTTGAGTTCAAGTACCTCAGGGTCTTGTTCACAAGTGAGGATTATGAGGAGTATGAGATGGATTGGCGGTTTGGTGCAGCATCTGCAGTGATGCCAGGGCTGCAATGGACCATCATGGTGATGAAAGAGCTGAGCCACAAGGCAAAGCTGTCGATTTAGTGTTCCATCTACGTCCCAACCCTCACCTATGCTCATGAGCTCTGGGTAATGCCTGAAATAATGAGATCATGGATACAAGTAGCCGAAATGAGTTTTCTTCATAGAGTAGCTGGGCTCAGCCTTCAAGATAGGGTGAGAAGCTCAGACATACGGAGAGAGCTTGGGGTAGAGCTGCTGCTCCTTCACATTCTCCTAAACACCCCCCTGTTAGGGGTGTTCCGGGCATGTCCAACTGGTAGGAGGCCCTGGGGCAGACCCAGAACACAGTGGAGGGATTGTATATCTCATCTGGCCTTGGAACACCCTGGGGATCACCAGGAGGAGCTGGAAAGCGTTGTTGTGGAGAGGGACTTCTGAAGTACGCAAATGAAAATGGATGGATGGATGAACCCTGCCTGTTACTGTCAGTACCCTCAACATTTTTACTTCCGCTTTCTGTCAGACTCAGATGTTGTGCTTCTACATAGCAACTTAACACAACCATTTTGAGTTGAAAGAAGAAATGTTTTTTGACAGACACATTGGACAAGATTTGAAACTTAGATCAATAGTCAAAAGCAAACAACTGGCTCACACGGTAACCACTGCACTATGTGATCTGATTATTTGATAAGATGTCCAATCAACAAAAAACAGAGGCAGATTAACTATTTCTTTAAAATGTATCATTCAAAGATACCAATGAATACAGCAGTAATAAGTTGCAGAAAAGTTGCAGAAGTAGTGGTACCGGTAGCAACAGTAGTAGTAGTAGTAGTATTAGAAACAGACAAGAATTGACACTGAAGCTCAAAGCATGTAAGAAAAGCCACCCAAAATGTGCAGAAATGTAATAATGATCACAACAGCATGAATGCAGTGTCAGCATCAATTGTAAAACACAGGAAATGAGATTTCTACTTGAGACATCTATTAACCAATCAGTTGAAAAGGGGTGTAAGTCTGGAGTCATCAGAGTTGTCCTCTGTAGCTTCTGGGTTTTAAAAAAACATAACCCTTTGAACCAGCTTTAAAAAGTGAGATTTCTGTGCTGCTGCATGGAAAGTAATTGGGAGTGTTAGAGCCACATGTTTGATATGTGTGAAATGTAGTATCCCACCACGCCACTAGGTGGCAATATGTCACAGGCTGAGGCAGGCCATGGTATGTTAATCCCAGTGAGCACAGGTGTTGAGTGGAGGTTAACAGTTCTCAACTGTGCTCAGAATAAAATTTACATGGCTGTTATTTATGGGAAGTTTGTGTTGAAAGTTATCAGAAGTTATATGGACATGATGGACAATGGTGAGAAAACAAACGAATGATGATATACAACATTGGTAAAGACTGGGAGTAATTCTCTTAGTACACGTCCAAACAATTCAGCCAATTAGCAGCCAGTGGCGGCTAAAGTAAAGGATAGTCACTACAGGGAGAACTGAGCTGCGAATTGCAGGGTGTACTCCTACTTATGCTTATGACCCTCTACACATGCTCTCTGGCTATAAAGGTAGGCAGGGGTGTAGCACCAAATTCTGGGCCCTACGCATAAGCAGTCTCTCAGGGCTCCCCCCACCCTTCCTCTCTTGACCCATGTCTCTATCACGCAGCTTTTGATTTATTTATTTATTTATTTATATCTATTTTAATTTTTTTACAACGTCAGTTTTCTTTCATTCCCTGTCCTTACTTTCTTTTTTGAAACCCTGATTTCCTTTTCTTGAGCAAAAACATGACTGTGTACATTGCTGCTCCAGTGGCATAAGCAGTCACTCACTCAGTTCTAGCTAGTTTAGAGACATATCATAGTGCAACTAAAGCAATTTGCAACCTTAAGGGGTGTGGCTCAGAGGTAGAGCGGGTCGTCCACCAATCAAAAGATCAGCTATTCGATCCCGGGCTCCTCCCGGCTGCATGTCGAAGTATCCTGGAGCAAGATACTGAACCCCAAATTGCTCCCGATGGCTGTTCCATCGGTGTGTGAGTGTGTTAAAACTGAGTAGCAGGTGGCACCTTGTACGGTAGCCTCGGCCATCAGTGTATGAATGTGTGTGTGAATGGGTGAACGTGACTCGTAGTGTAAAAAGCGCTTTGAGTGGTCACTAGATGACTAGAAAGGCGCTATACAAATGCAGGTCCATTTACCAAGGGGTGAGAAGGGCCTCAGAGAGCTTTCTCTATATTTTTATTTATTTAGCCAATTTTAACTTAGTATTGGCACTAATTACTAGGGCTGTCAGACAATCTGTTTAAATAGCAATTAATTGCTGAATTCCAGTTGGTAATCACAATTATTCACATTTTTAATTGCATGTTTAAAATTCCATTATTTTGCATTTCAAAACAGTATTGAAGTCCATATTAACAAGGTG